TGGGATTTCACCCCAAAATCGCTGGGGATTGGAACCGAAACTGTTGGGATCCCACCCTGGAACTGCTGGGGTTTGGAGCCACAAAATGTTGGGATTTCACCCCAAAAATCCATGGAGCCACAGTTGCTGGGATTTCACCCAAAATCCCTGGAATTTCACCCAGAATCGCTGGAATTCCACCCAAAATCGCTGGGATTTCACCCAGAATCGTTGGAATTTCACCCAGAAACGCTGGAATTTCACCCAGAATCGTTGGAATTTCACCCAAAATCCCTGGAGTTTCACCCAGAATCGCTGGAATTCCACCCAAAATCCCTGGGATTCCACCCAGAATCGATGGAATTTCACCCAAAATCTCTGGAATTCCACCCAGAATCCCTGGAATTCCACCCGGAATCGCTGGGATTTCACCCAGAATCCCTGGAATTCCACCCGGAATCGCTGGGATTCGGAGCCAGGACCGTCAGGATTCGAAGCTGCTGGGGCTGGACTCAGAACCCAGGAGCTGCCCCCAAATCTTTGGGGTCGGGACCCCCGAACCTCCCGGATTTCACCCCCAATTTCCGGGCTCTGGAGGCAGAAATTGCCGAGGTTTTACCCCAAAATTCCTCCCGGATTTCTGCACCTGGGACTCGAGAGCCTCGGGGAGTTTGGACCCGAAATTCCGAGGGTTTTTCCCCCAAATTTTTTGGGAATTCACCCCTAAACTCATCGGATTTCCCCCCGAGAATTCCTGTGCTTTTGGACCCCCCAAAATCCCCCAATTTCAGGGTTTCACCCCAAAATTTGCTGCTGTTTTTCCCAAATCTTGGGGTTCCCCCCCCCAGTTTTATTCCCCTAAATTTAATTTTGGGGGATTGTGTTTATTTTGGGGGCTTTGTATTTATTTTAGGAATCTTTTTATTTATTTGGGGGCGTTTATATTTATTTTAGGAACATTTGTATTTATTTTAGGAACATTTGTATTTATTTTAGGAACATTTATATTTATTTTAGGAACATTTATATTTATTTTAGGAACATTTATATTTATTTTAGGAACATTTGTATTTAATTTAGGAATATTTGTATTTAATTTAGGGATATTTGTATTTAATTTAGGATGTATTTATTTATTTACTTGGGGGGGTTATTTTTATTATGGGAAGTTTATTTATTTGGGAGGGGTTTATATTTATTTTCTGGTGGGGTTTTATTTATTTTAGGGACATTTCTATTTATTTGGGGCGTATTAATTTTAGGATGTTTGTATTAATTTTAGGGATGTTTATATTTTGGGGACGTTTTTATTTATTTTGGGGACGTTTGTATTTATTTTGGGGACGTTTTTATTTATTTTGGGGATGTTTTTATTTATTTTGGGGACGTTTTTATTTTATTTGGGGAGGGGATTGATTTTGGGGGGGGGATTCAGAGGTGCTGGGGGGGGCAGAGCCCCCCCAAAATGTAAATAAATAAATAAAAAGTAAATAAATAAATAAAGTAAATAAATACATAAAGGGGTCACAGAGACCTGAGAGCATTTGGGGGCCCCTTAATCCCCCCCAAAATGGGTTAAAATCACCCTAAAATTGATTTAAATCATCCCAAAATGGGTTAAAATCACCCCAAATTGAGTTAAAACCACCCCAAAATGGCTTAAAATCATCCCAAAAATGGATTTAAATCATCCCCAAATGGGTAAAAATCACCTCGAATTGAAACCAGACCCCCCAAAACGAGCCCAGACCCCCCAAAACGAGCCCAGACCCCCCAAAAAAGCCCCCCCAGACCCCCCAAAAAAGCCCCCCCAGACCCCCCAAAAAAGCCCCCCCAGACCCGCAGCTGCTCCAAGGGATTTATTTTGGGGGGTGGGGGAGGGGCGCCGGTCATAGCCTGGAACACAGAACGGGAGGGGGAGGGGTCAGGGGGGATCCCCCCATTGTGGAGACCCCCCCCCAAATTTGGGGTCCCCCCCAGACTCACGTGACTGCCCGGAACGATCTCTTCTCCACGTACTTGACCCGGTACCTGCGCCTGAACCTGGGCAGGAAACCCCAAAA